GTGTAATCTCTTTGGTATCAAAAAGGGTTCCTTTTTTAAGTCCAATCCTATTGCGTACATCAACATAGTCTTGGTGGCTCAGGTTATGAGCTTCTCGAGGACATTTACAGGTTCGACAGATTTTCCTGTTAGTGGCACAAAAAGAAAGATAATTAGCATATTCAATTAACCAATATATCAACAATAATAATTGAAGGGTAATCACAAATTTTAAAAAAATAGGAGCAAAAAAGAGCTGACAAAATAACAGTGACACAAATCACGGGATTAGAGTTGACTTAACATTGACTTGGTTAATTGGTTGGAAATGTTCAGTTTGAATGGATTCCAAAAAAACATATGAGGTTAACTGGTTAAGGATAAACATGCTGATTAGGAAGGTAAGGTAAAATGACAATGGTAAATTAAATATTGTAAAAAAAGTATCCAGATAGATCAAGAAATAAAGTCAGGTGTTGAAACACGACATGACCTGAACACATAATGAGACGGTAAAAATATAAGATGTATATTTACATTAGTTGTAATATAATTTACTTTGGTTAATCATTTGTCAAGTGAGCCCAACAAGTTCACTTGATACAGAAGATACACTTTGATATTTACTGTTGGGTTTTAAGCTTAATTTTGCAAACGACAATCACAATAAAAAAAGATGGACAGAAAAATTAGAAACAAAAAAAAATCTTACAACGTTGGTTGGATAAAATGGAACAGTTTAGGTGATGTTTAGATGTTTTTTAGATATTGAATGGTGTTCAAATGATGTTGGGGTAATGTTTAGATAATTGAAAGGTACAATGGCACTAGAAAGGTCTTCCAATGGCTAGTTAGAGTTGATAACAAAAGAAGCACCTGAAAAGTTTCAAGATCAATTGGTTGAAATTAATTTAGAGCTGCAAGAATACGATGATAATGATGATAATGGTAATTCATGATCTAGTTCCAATAGAGGGAGCTGATATAAGACAGAAAGACTGAGAAAGAGATTAAAATAGAAAGAGATGATCTAAGAGAGTGAAAATAAAACCGGGAGAAAGTGAAAAGAGGGAAAAGATAACCCAAAACAACCAAGAACAATGATAAGAGATAAACACTTTTTTCGGCGCTTAAACCATTTAAAAGGGTAGTTTGGTTATCAGGGAAAGTAATGACAAAAAGGTTAAGATAATGTCTGGTTTCAACAAAATGTCTTAAAACACATCAGAAACCGAGACTGAGAAAAGGTTGAGAACCCAAAAGGTCATCATTTTACTGTTAAATTAAAGGCTTATCAACTTGAAATGCTGGTCTGTTTTTTATCTCAACTATGAGATAATCAATGGAGCAAGTCGAAATCGCCCTTGACTAGAATCAATTATCGATACAAAAGTAGAAAGTAGAAAGAGTTCAATAAATACTGAAACTGAGATCCATTTTATTGTATCACTCATTTTTAAAATTAAATCGCCATTTGAAGGCGAAATTTCTTTATCTTGTTTTAATGCTTTCCACTCCTATTGATCATCGGAAACAAATCGCAATTCCAGAAAGGCTTGGCAGGGCAACAAGTTACATGAGTTAGTGGAGCACTATTTCAGTGATCAATGATTTGTCACAAGGTTAGTGCGCTTTCACTAAACGCCTAAAATTAAGTGAAAATTGAATTTAACAGGACAATAAAAGGATTTAAATTTCAGTAATTATTTTGAATTATTATATCTTTCTATTGAACACATCCATAATTGATTCTGGTCAGGAAATTTTATATTAAGGTCCGACTTTCTCCTTTCCAGGCCTAATCTTGTTGGTTTAACCAGCATTTTCATAATGATTTAGATTGTTATAACCAGAAAACTGGTTCAATGATCCTTTTCTGTAACACATAAAAGGCTAATCATTGTTTACCTTTCCAGGTTAAGCCAAAGACAAAAAGACTGATCCAGTTGCTATACATCATGACTCACAATATGAACCTTTATTAGCAACTGATATTGTTTGGTCATGATGATGCATTAATTGAGTTTAATTGTTGATATGTATGGTTAAGCTTGAAAAATGATATTCTTTCTGATCCTAGCAACTTTAAAAGCTAACCTTACTGAGGTCTCGCATTGAAATTGTTAAGCCTTTTACCCTCAGCTTTGAAATAATTTTAAACCTTGAATCTTCATTATCATCACCATGAGTCTTGACTTCAATATCATCATTATCATTTTAATCTCATATCTTCATTAACATCTCACAAGTTTAGGTTAACCCAAAAATATACTGCGAAATGTGATGCTTGGGTTAAATTTTCATTTCCTTATCATTATTCATATTATGATACACTATTTTAAAAATTATGTTGAAATTGAAAGAAATATTTCGTCTCATGATATTTTAATACTTACAATTATAATTACATTTAGCTTTTGGAAACTTAATTAATCCAAGTTGTAATGATGATATGCCAAGTTTTGTACAGATAAACTTAAAAATAGTTGATTTATGAAATAAATAAACACACGGAAATGTATACTTTTTTACAAATATTAATTTACCATCAGGTTTAATAAGGTATCGATTAAACCGAGTTTTAAAAGTAACAGTCGATATTAAACGTTACTTACCTCCAAGAGTGTGGTTGATAACCTGGACATGCATTGAAACATCGGAGACATGGTTGGTCCAATTCAACTTCTTGAATTAAAACTCCCTTCAATAATAAATTCAATTGCAAGAAATTAGTAAATCGAGTGAAGGAAGCGTCATCTATTGGAAGCAAATTCAACTGAAGTCTAGTGTTTATCAAATGTTGTTTATAAATCGTTTCAGAGTCGACTTGATTGGTGTTTATCGTAAAACAATGAACTCTAGTTATAAATTTGTGATTTTTTAAGATTATTTTACATCTACTCTTCATCAAACACTGATCCAGTTATTCGTATGAGATGAATGGTAACAAATTAAAGTTGGATTCTTACCGTTCGATTGAAAATCTCAATGCAAGTTGAGTTAACTTGATCGGCAAGGTTGGCTGTCATTGGATTGTTTACCCAAGGCATGTAAATTGTAATCAGCGAAATTTCCAATCTAAAAGAATCCTGTTTCTGGTTAAACAAAAATGGTTTCCTGGTGTTGCAGTGGTTCCAATTTAAAAATGAGTAAATGACAATAAAGTCAACAAATCAACTCTTGAACACAAGATTCACGGTAAAAGCTGAATCCAGTTGTTTGCTTCAATCCTATTTTGGGGTAAACTTAATGTCAAGTAAAGGTAAAACTGCAAAAGGCCCAAAAAATTGACAAACAATGAAAATAAGTTTACAATTGAAAGGGACGAGTTATCACAATTGTAGGTAGATAATCACAAATGACAACTATTGGAAATGTATTAAGTGTATGATTTGAGTGTCTATCAATCACTAGTTCTTACCTCACTCATCATCTTACTTTTCATCCATCATCTTCACCTTTTTCATCTTCTTCAGTCTAATGGTGATTTCTGACTTGAGTCTCGATGTTTACCCAATTCAGTACACATTGAATACTCTTGGAAAGGTAAAGTAAAAAAAGAAGGCAAAATTATCCAAATACAAGTTGATTGTTGTTGATGAACAAAAGTAGACTAATCAGTTAATGGTTGACATGATGTTGATGGATAAAGCTTTACCAGGTACTGAGTCAAGAAATTAAAGGTAAATACTTATATTTATTTTTGTTTCCCTTGATCAGGCGACTGTGAAAAGTAGAGTTTAATTGTTACAATCAATAGCTACTTTAACATTAACCTTGATATTGAAATTGTAAATGATAACTTCTGGGTTGAACAGAAACAAAACATCAATGATAACTGTGCTAATTGATAGATTGCAATCAATATTCAAGATTGAATTTAAAACTAATAGCAATTTAGTGCATCTTTCAATCTATACTTTAGTAGCTTGGACAACTTTATTCTGGTTGCAATTAATTTCTGTCATTTGTGGTTCCTTTTGGATACCAATTATGGTTGTGGGTTGTTATATTGTTGGTTTTAATTTTGGTTAAAAAGTATCAAATTGCAATAAAATGTCCTGATGACAATTAATGGCTTTATTCAATTTGAAGACAAAATTGTGAATAAAAAAAGGACAAACAAAAAAGAGTGATGAGAAGCAAGCTAAGTAACTCACACCCAAGTCTAATTCATGATAATCATCCTGAGCTCAGTATCAGCATCAACATCAAAATCAGCAACATCATCATCATCTTAATCATTTGGCTTCTTTTCCAGCCAATAACACTATCTCGGGTAACATAAACATTAAATTTCACTTTACAGCAATACAAGTGAAAATCGGTTTCATTTATGGCTAATATCGGCTCAATTGGGTGACTTGACTGGATGGTTAACCGACCAATACAATTTTCCCATGTGAAAAATTGATTGGGCTCAATATTAATTTCGAGAGATGAACGATTAATCAAATAAAAGGCATAATTTGAATAGTTTGGCTTTGTTCTTTTATCAATAGATTCCATTAGTTTATAAGGTCTCCTGCAGTGAGAGGCCACTTCTCATTTTACCCTCTTCTTGTTGTCTTAAGCCACCATCATTTTACTCTCTTTCTATCTCCCTTTCTCTCTCTCCTCCTGTCTACCTGTTTTCAAATCTTCAATTCTTAAATCACATTTCATCTTCAGGTTATCCACATTTAACCTGCATCCAACCCACAATCCCAAAGTTTAGCTTTAACCTGAAAGCTTTTCTGGTTAAACAAATTTATTTTTCCCTCTCTAACTCCCTTGTAATTTGTATGTTTACTTTTTTAATTGCAAACCATTGATTGTTGATTTGTTTACCTTTCAAGATGATTCTCCGAGTTACCATGATTTAAATTTTTCACTTGGATCCATCTTACATTTGATTGTTAACCCAAAAATTTCACTTTTCCGCTTACATCTCGAAAAGGATTACCATTTTGATACCGGGAAAGTTACACATCTGTTTTTATTTTGGCTTTTATCGAGCAATCAACTTGATCATGGGTCAATTTCCGAGATGTACATTCTTTTCTCCTGTTAATAAATTCATAGTTAATGTTATGTTAAACATTTTAAACATCAACAGTGAACTAGATTTTCGACTGGAAAAAACAATCGCTTAATCTCAACAACGGTTTTCGTCTGTTTATACAATCATGTGTTTGAGTCTCCATTTCACCACTAACCGGGTTAATGCGTTAGCAAGCTTACTGTTGCTGTTTACGCTTGTTTCCTCGGAGTCAACTTTCGTGTGCCCACCTTCATTATTAACTGCTAATTGTACCTGTGAAACAACAAGTTATATCGTTAATTGTTCCAGTGAAGTTAATCACCGTAATAAGCTCAATTGGCTACATGATATCCCAATTGAAACAAAGACTTTAATCATCAATGGACACAATCTTGCAACTTTGACAAAAGATACTTTTGGTGCAGCTAAAGATGAACCCAAACTCGTGGAATATATTGATTTGTCCAATAACAATATACAATTTATTGATGGTCAAACATTTTCTGGTTTTACCAATGTAAAAAAGTTGATTCTCAGTCATAACAAAATCCGTATTACAGGTAAGTTATATTTGGTCCAATGGTCAAACACTTTTTCCTTTCCTGACAACCTCTAATTGAATGAAGCAGCAAAATAACCAAGAGCTGCACCTTTTTTCATTAGATACAAATCATATTCAGTCAACAATAAACAATTTTATTCCTTATATGCAATAACCTGGTCACTATAGCAGTGCACTAACCAAAATGCGTAGGTAGACCTTATAATCTATTATTTAGGGTGAAGTTTTTCACTTCCAACTGCAATTTAAGATATACAGTTACTTAGATCCTTTTTGTTCAATCCTTATTCAAGTTATTAATAATATTTTATTCTAATAACCTGTTGTTTCTTCTCCTTCTATCAACAGGTGACAATTACCGAGGATTATTCAAGCCCTTTGTCAATCTGGTTGAGTTACATTTGGTTTCAGCATTTAGCGACACTTCCAATCCATCATTTGTACCCAATCTATTAACACTATTGAGAGAAGCCAATTTGACAGAGTTAAGTCTCCTCTCCCTGGAACTGAATGGAATCCATGGATTTCCTGATTCTACGTCTTTCTGTTTCCTTCCATCCTTACAAAAGCTGTTTCTTCCTGGGAATTCATTAAACCAAATTCGTCTCAATTTCACTTGTACACCTAAATTGCGGACACTCGATTTATCTCACAACAGGATTAAACATTTGGACAATGAGTCGACAGCTCTATTGGCTGATCTTCCCAGATCTTTTCACATTAATTTGACTGGAAATCCGTTTTCATGTGACTGCCGAAGTGAACATTTTCTTCGCTGGCTCAAACGAACCCCTCTATTCATTATGGGAAAAGACAATTACATTTGCTTATCTGGATATCCATCTTCAAATGCATACCGGCGGCTAATTCAGTTGCCAATTACAGATATTGATTGCGATCCCATGGAAAATGAATATGCTTCATCTTCTTTATTAACCTTCTATCCTCATATCATTCTGGCCATATTGACAGTAACCGTGATACTTTTATTGGCTCTTGTCTTTTATCAAGTTCGTTCTCACATAATGACCTTTTGCCTGGCTCATGTGTTCAACAAAACCAATGCCAATTACTGTGCACTTCGACGCGATGAAAAAAATGATACACTGCCTAGGAAACGAATTATTGAGATCTCTGTATAATTTAAAGCAATCAAATTACAAAGAAAGAAAGAAAACGAAATTTTCTAATTTCTTTTATAAATCTCTATTTATTATATTTTGTATTGGAAAATTTAGTAAAATAAATATTAATTTCTCACTCGAAATGGAAATATTTTGTTTCTCAATAGCATACGCTTGAAAAATTGAAATCATTTACAATTTCAACTAAAGAAATGGCCTAACAGCTTGTCAATTCATTGAATTCATTTATTCATCAAGCTAAGACGTAGGAGTAAATACTCAAGTCTATGAATGACTGTCCAAAGGTGTTGTCTTTATAAAAACTGGATATAAAAAGGTAACCAACAATGAATCAGCCCTTTTCCAGCTATTAAAAATGCAGAATAACAAATCAACCAACCGCAATTATAAATTGAAATACATTAATTGTGAGACTTCAAAATTGAGAGCTTGTTCAAAATTGTCTGGAATAGCTAAAGCTGACATTAAAATGTACTGTTTAAGATATTTGTTGAGGCAAATTTTCACTTTTATGTTCAATAAATGCTGATTTAAGCGGTAAATCAAATTAAAGCCCATTAATTAGATAGCAGACAATGTAGGTTTAACACATAATATTGGCTTTTAATATATTGAAAGGTAGAAGTAAATATAAAATCAATTACTCGATTGAATAGGACGGACTATTGAACTTTGATTGATATTTTACTTTGGACTGATTTTGTTTATTATAATCATTAAATCATTGAATGTAGTGAAGCTAGTTACATAGGATTTTCAAGACTCAAACTCTCTGATATAGACTCATTGATAGTAAGGCCTACCACGATGAAAATCAGGTTTGATCGTGGGCTTCATGAGTTATTATCGCTATTATTTTTTAATATAGGTATTAATATGATGGTATTTCAAGACTTGATTTCCTATCCACCGAACCAGAAACTAATTGACTTCTCATTTGACTAAATCTCGTCCATCTTATCAAGCCATATAATTAACAAACGATTGTCATGTAAGATAAATCCTTCAACGGGAACCTGGAAACTTGTTCAGCTTTTATTAACATAGAAAGATGTGAGATTTTAAAACTCGCATTTAGGATAAGATATTTATTGTTGGAATTAAAATTTTATCCAATATTTCTCGACTTTTTAATTACAATATAAATAAACCATATTTTTGTTACCGGTTTCATCTAATGAAAGATGAAAGTGAAATTTTGGCAACATTTTGGTTTGAATTTGGTGCGTTCTTCCACTTTTTATATTTACTCAACTATCGCACATTCGAAGAGCTATTTAAGGCGTTTTATTTAAATTAATTAGTTGATTCAATTGATTTAATGTCCAGTTTGAAGCAAGAACAGATTCTTTATTAATGGCATTCGGCTGATTTTACATAGCCATTGAATTGGCTGTAATGCATATATAATTTGCAAAGATGAATATAAGCGCACAAAAGAATTATTTTGATTTTTTTAAATTGCCTATTATATTTGTACAATTTATCTTTAATTTTTGATGGTTAAATTAATTAAATTAATTTATATTTGAATAAAAATAATTAATTTTTCCCTTTGATGCAAACATAAATTTATTTTGTTTGTAATATATAGATCGTCCCCAAACGGTTCAAGATGGCGAGCAAACAAGCTTTGTGAAATAATTTTCGGAAAATTGCTCCTTGTTTCATGTATAAATATTGTGATGATTAATCTAGTTAACGAAGTATCCTTACTTAGATGGTGATTATTAGGAAAACCGTTTCGTGAGGTAAAGATAATTAGATCAACTATGGCATCTGAAGATATTATCTTTCAAAATGTTGGAAGTGAAGTTAGCATTGATTGTTGTAGTGAAGAATTGGTTGCCCCGCTTGAAGGAGTTTCTCTTCCCGCCACAAGTACCAAAGGCGTACGTCGTGCAAAGGTAAATGAATCGAGTAAACAGTCTATGTTAACGGATGGATCTTCAAGTCCTTTATTGGTTTCAGCCGGTGATAACCAAGCATCAAATTTGGCTCAATTTATAACATCGATACGACCACCGCCTCTTGTTGGCACCTCTGGACCTATGACTATTGAACCTATCGCAAGTGCGACTTCATTAATCGGAGGTGTTAAAAATGTTAATATTAACAGCAATAGCAACATTATAAACAGCAATTCTACCACCGCTGTCAGTGTTTCCATAAATAATAGTAGTACAACCAGTAATAATGTTATCAATTGTAGCAGTGGAACCCTGATCAATGCCAGTCCTGTTGTTAAAAAGATTCAAACAACTAATCGTAATTTGATTAAAAGACAACCTCAAGCTATAGCACCAGCCCCGCCGACTCCAACTCAGAATACCCTTCCAGCTTCTAGTATTATAACTAAGGTGATAATGACACCAACTGGACAGCAACTTTTGATAACAAGTCCAGTGAAACAGGGGAGCGACATTGTTAATATTAAGACTGTTCCAATCTCAATTCAACCTGCATCCAGCTCAAATACCGTCAACAAACCTATTAAAACGCCAACAACGCCAACTTTTCTAACCACAGGAACTGGCGGGCTCATTATGGTTCCAGCACAATTTGTTCAACAACAATCTGCCTCTGCTGACCCATCTCCAGGATCTGTTTTAACTCCTATCTCCACCAAAAGTAATCAAATAAAAGGACCTACCTCAACCAATACGAAACCAGTGACTTTGGCTACAAGTAAACCAGTAACATCTACTCCTACCAGAACCAATTTTGTACCCATAGCTCCAAGTCCAATATCAAATCAACAAGCAAGTGCCCTTTCGGCAAGTCAAATTTTGGCAGGTCTTAGTGGTTCGAAATCTGCTCAGAATGGGTTAGTATTATGTCATGAGAATGACCACTTAAACACATATTTTAACCGATTGACTAATATTTTTTTTCATTCTTTTTTTGTGATTTCACCAGTCCCAAGCTAGATAATGACCCCAATAGGCCTCGTAAACCCTGTAATTGTACAAAATCTCAGTGTTTGAAGCTCTACTGTGACTGCTTTGCCAATGGAGAGTTTTGTAATAATTGTAATTGCATTAACTGTGCTAATAACTTGAAACATGAAGAGGAACGACAAAAAGCAATCAAACAGTGTCTTGAAAGAAATCCAAATGCTTTCCACCCTAAAATTGGTAAAGGTCGTGGTGACATAGCAGAACGAAGGCACACCAAAGGATGTAATTGCCGTCGTAGTGGTTGTCTTAAAAATTATTGTGAATGCTACGAAGCTAAAATATTGTGCTCTGAACTTTGCAAATGTATTAGCTGTAAAAACTATGAAGACTCTTATGAAAGAAAAACTTTAATGCACCTGGCTGATGCTGCTGAAGTCAGGGCAGCACAACAATCTGTGGCCAGCAAATCTCATCTATGTGGAAGTGATTTCCGTACCAAGTTGCCTGTTTTCATGGCAGATAGAGCTGAAAGGTAATGAAAGCTATACATAGGTCTTAATTATTTCAAAGCACATCATTTTCGAGCCTTTCTTCTTCAGCTGTTCGGTTTGAATAATCTGTGCAATCTAGTTTGTTTTGGCAGCTTATTTTGATATTTCTGTTGAGTTATCTTGTCTAGCATTGGCATCAATTTTAATTAGTTGTTAGATGCCAAAGATCAAATGCTCAATATTTCGAGCTATTTTGTTTATCAGTCTTAGTCGCACTACTCTTGACAATTCCTCAGTTTTTCATTTTTATAGATTTACAACTATCATTATTAAATAAGGTAGCTGTATATCAGAATGGTAACAAATTTTACAGATTTTCAATCTCACCGATGGTTCATGCTCTCATTTCATTTTCCTTTTCTTTTCTACTTCTCTTATATCTAATCGAAAATGATTGCTGCAATCTGAATGAAATTCAATTCGACTTCAAAATAATTGTTCTGATTACTGATCATGCTTTTTTTATTTTACAGGCTGCACTGTGCTTTCATCACTAATGAAGTTATTGAAGCAACATGTGAATGTTTAATGGCTCAAGCTGATGCCGCTGAAAAACAAGGTTTAAGTCAAGTTGAAGTAGAAAAATTGATTCTAGATGAATTTGGAAGGTGTCTGAGACAAATCATAGAAAGTGCTAATAACTCTAAATCGTAAGTATCGAGAAAAGTCATCAAAAATTGTATTCTAGACCCAACATATGTTTTTTTATCCCTTTCTCGTCCTTCGAGAATATTTATTCATGTAAACATGACCTGCGGTTTTACCCATTAAAATAATTATTTGTGATGGCAATTTTTTCTCACTTTTAATTTTCTTTCTTTCTCAGAGCCAAAGCCAATCAATAAATTTTACCCAACCAAAACCCATTGGTGTGAATTTTAACATGATGAAGTTAAATTAAACATGGTGAATTTCTATAAATTGACTATTGAAATATCTGAATTCAAACAAAGAAAAACTTGAATAAGTCTAAGGCTTAAATTATTATTCATGTGATACCAGCCTGTTTTAATTTGAGCAAAAGGATTAATGGAAGTGGTCAGGCTGGAAGTGCTGAACCCTTTGAAAAAATTTGAGGGAAAATTTACCATGCCAAGCTGGTCGCTAGATTGAAACAAACAGTCAAACAAATGTTTTTTTATGTAATCAACATCGATCAACCCTTACGTTGATCAATGTGTACACCTTACTTCTTACATCATCATTTCTTTCTTCCCTTTATTTCTCTTTTTTCCATCACCTCTTTTTCCTTCTAACAAACTCATCAAAAAATATCACAGGTATGAGATTAGTTTATATCAATTGAAATAGCTAATGAAACTGTTAAAAAAGCCGACTATTATAATACGAAAAATTTGACCTTAATAATACTAATTATGAAACAATTATAAATGATTTCACTGATTTCTACAATGATCAGATAAATAGCAACTAATTTTTTTCTGGGGAGTCACTTGATAAACGTATTCCATAGTAAACAAAACACATGTAAATGCTTGTGATCTTTTTTCCCTCTTTATCTCCTTTCCTTTTCCTTCTCTTCTCTCCTACCATTGTTAGCAAATTTACAGGCAAAACCCATCTTATATTCAATTATCATCAAATATTGTCACCATTAAACAAAACAATCTATTGTAATTACAAATTCAAAAGGAAACAAAAATGTAAAATTCTTATTTAAAGAACAAAAACTAAGACAAAAAGCTTGAATATATTCGTATTTAAGTGAATCCAAATCGACTGTTTCATCTCCATTTTCAAAATATTTCCATCTACTTTTGATAAAAGTGCCCTAAAGCATTTCATCCTATCAGCGCTTAACCTACTAATATTGCCTTAAGGACAATCTCGATTAGGTTCAAGTGACCAAAAAGCGTCAAAATTGGTTACTTTAACCTTTTTTTTGACTCCTCTCAATTTTGGCTTAAGCGATTTGCTATGAATAAAGTTGACTTATGTTAAGAAATAAACCAACAAAATTAATCTAGGATCAGTTCACTTGAAAATCTGTTCATCGGTTCTCATTAAATCGTAATTATTGTTAAAGTAAATGTATTAATAATCAAGCAATTATTATTGGTTAACTATGATTATTTGTTTCAAAATACTTAATGGTTTGCTTTTCGAATGTAATAAAATGAAATCAATTGTATTTTCAATTTATTTATTTGAATTGTCTTGTTTTTTGTCGGTTTAGTTACAATAGAAAAGATTAAGATATTATGAAGATTAATTATCTTTTATCGAACAATTTGATTGCAAACGTTTATCAAATATTGGAACGCTTTGTATTGATGATCGATTTTGGACCCTCACTTATTCGTACTCGTATTTTTGTTGTTTTTTGTTTTGAACTTGTATGAAAAATTGTCTTAGCTTAAACACTGAAGAACGCAGCAAAATATTGATTGATTTGTTTCAGTTGGTTGAGGATTTTGTTTTAAAATCAAAGCTCATAATCACGTAAAAATAGGTTTATATCAGGAGGCTAAAATGAAGTCTTGTGTCTCAATGTTTGAACAGGTTGAAATGGCTCGCCATGATCCTTTGAATTCAATGGACAAGGTAAAAATATAAGTCATATGTACACAAATTAAGTTTGATTAGATTTGTTTTTTAACGGTAGATACAGCTAAATGTCGATTTGCTTGGTCTCCGCTGTCTTTTTCGCTCTTCTGAAAAAAATCTTTAGTGTTCTGTTGAAGTTGGAAATGTTTGCTAAACATTATAAGCTTTGCTGTTTATCCATCAAAGGTAATAAATTTCCCATCCATAAAAAACTCTGAACCGCGTGCTTTGTAAAATAACGTTTCGGTTTCATTTAATTAATGGGAGATGATGCATCAGACTTATCGACATTGATTAGTGTAGCTTGCAATTTTTTTGTTTGATTGTAAAGTGGCTCAGTTGAAGAAGTTAATCCAACTGATACTTCGATGTTAACAATAAAGATGTTTCAATGGCTTTGAAGATGACGATGATTTGTTAAGAAGTAGAAAAGTATGAGCTGCTGAGATTGATTTAGTAAGTTGTCAAATATATATATTTATATATTAAAGAATAGTTATAACAATGACTTTTGGAATTGTTATTCCTTCTCGTATCCAACTTTTTGTCTTTTGAATTTTTGATGCATGATACCAAGTTTAGAAGAATATTTGCTTTGCGTTCTGAGGATTCTGTTCAACTGGACAATATGGACATTTAACTTTTGTGCTTCCATTGGACATTTTGGTAAGAGCATCTCTAGAAATAACATGACCACAATCTAATCTCATTGGTGGATTAGCATCTGAACTTTGTTGTCGGAGTATTGGGCAGGCAAAAATGGAATGGAATTGAAATTTTCTATCCAACTCAATGACTATGGGCAGTTCGTCTTTAGCGGTCCATACATTGGCCACACGACGTGAATTCATCATTTGTCTGATGTTGAGCAAGGCCGGAAAAGCAATTGTACCAGCTTCAAAGGCAATGTTGAGTGGACTATCTACACTCATTCCCATAAGGCAGCAAGAGTCGCGAATGAAGACATCACATATCTCACTCCAATTGAGAATGTCCAATAGATAGGCATAAGGTGAATTTTCTAAACCCGTTTTAAGGTATAATAGGCTTCCCATGAGAGTTTGTATTTCTTTTTCATGGCTACTAACAAGAGGTTGTAATTTATTACGAGCAAAGGCAATTAACTCGGACTGTTTTCCAACTCCTTGCGAAAGGTACTCAATGAACTGTAAACGATGCAACTTAAATTCAAGGTTTGAATTTTGTTCCGCCAATCTAGCTCGGTTGGCCTCAACCCAATCAAGAGCTGGTTTTAAGTCACGCTTACGTAAAGAAATCAAGATTTTGTTCAACTCGGTGAATGGTTTTTTAACCTCTTCTGATATCTCTATGCCAGTGTCGGCTGCTATGGCATCTACAATATCCAGCATTCCTTTACGCATAAAATGCTCAATCACAACACGATTAAGACTGGTTTTGGATTCTTCATCACTCCAAAGAGATCTGTTCTCCATACATCCATATTCACCAGAAAAATTTTTATCGATTGCTTTACCCACTCGTGATACGGCACCATGAAAATCACGATGCTCCTTTGCCAATTGTACTGTAACATCTTGAATCTTTTTGATTGCATGGTTTATAAGGTTAACCCTGATAGAGCTTGGTAAAATATCCTCTGGATCTAAAGTCAAGATAATAGAGCAAAAAAATGCGTTAATGTTGAATTACTGAATTAAAATAGCTAGAGCATTATGGAAAACAAAAGAAGCGAAACGAGTCATCCATTAAGAAGAATCTGTCAAAATGAAGGTCAATCAACTTGGAAGACAATTTTAAAATGCAAAATAGAGAGAGAGGAAAAAAAACATAGATTACAAAGATAAAAGAAACAAAAGATTTAGGTTGAGTGAGGAAAAAAATACATTAATGTTCATTATAAACAATACTCACCATTTGATTCTAGTAAATCTCTTCTCATGTTTTCAATTTCAGAGATGAGATCAGATAAACAGGTATCACAGTGATCCAAGATGCTCGTAAATTTATTAATAACCTTGTCCACATCTTTTTCAACATTTAAAATAGAATTCATGGCAACCCAAATGGGTTCACTGTTTTCAATATTGGTACTAATGATGTAAACAAGTGTGAAAGGCTTAACACAAAATGAACAATATAGTAATTAATGGTGTAAATGTAATTAGTATAACAATAAGAAAATTTTAACCACAAAAAAATAGCAAAATGGATGGACAAAAAGGATTAAATAAATTATTTCTTCTTCTTCTTTCCTTTCTTCAACTTGTCTCTCTCCTTCCCTACCAAAACAATAAAAACAAAGATCTTTGACTCTTTATATTCTTGTTTGATTGGTAAAGGCCAACAACAGATGAGAGGAGCGTAGTTTAAACATCGTAAACTTGTTTTCATGGATGCGCAATAAACTTGACTCGGTTCAACTTAATTATACAAATTTTCAATTCTATGTCCAATCAGAATGGTCCATAATTGTCACTTCCAGTGTAATTGTCCGTCTTCCATGTCCGTTTATCTTAGCACTATCATCTTACATCTAATTAACCTTTTAAATCTCTAATGAAAATTTTCATTTTTCATTTCTCATAAAATAAGTGAAGGCTCTTGTTAATAATTGTGACTTTAAATACCTTACAATTATACCATTAACATCGTAAATCTCGTTCTGACAATTCGAAGTCTCTTTACATAGACTATGTACAGAGTTATTAAAGCTATAACAACCAATACTGATTGATTGATGATTTTGAGGTTAAGTATTCTTTTGTCTAAAAATAGGTGAAGGAATAAACAAAAAAGAACATTGAATAATGACTTTCTGAATCAGAATGGATTATCTATTGTAAACATTTGATTTGTTGTATTGTTTATAAATTGGAGGGTCAGGTAATTAACTAATTACTCGACTTTGATTTCTCAAAAAATGAAGGATGTAAAGCTATTGAAATAATTTGATAGTTGATAAAAAATTCGTGGTAGGAAAATAAAAGCACAATTTTAATAAATTTTCACCACAACATAAGAATTGATATTTTGAATAAAAAGTGTTGGTGAATGAAAAAAAGCAACCTTGAGAGTGAAAAATTTTCCAATCTTCAATTATTACGCTTCCAATATCGTTGAAAAAGTTGGAGCTACAATTAAAGTTGGGAAATATTTTACCCAAAAAATGACTTTTTCAATACCTATCCCAATGAATCAGATTGAGTAATCCAAACAATAAACAATTGAACTTATATATATCACAAATAATTTAAGAGAAACAAATTATCCTGGATTTGTAACTGTTGATGATCATGATTTATCTGCCATTTTTCAAATGGTCGCACATTGAGTATCCAAAGTAAATATTGGCCCGAGTTGGAAATTTCATCACAAATATATTTCGGTCAAAATCTCAGATCTCGATTAAGGGCATTAGAATACTTGATTGCAACAGGAATTAGTATTTCTTTGATTTTCCAGGCTTTCCAGATCCTGTGTCCTTCTTGTTGATCTTAATATACTCAGGCATATCAGGAGATGGAATAGCTGTAGTTGTAGTTTCTGTGTCATTTGGTGGGTTGATACGTAACTAGAATGAGAAGAAAAAAGAAATCAGCGAAAATGTTTGAATAGTTCGTTAATGCCCGTCATCAGCCTACGCTAATCTCTAGACAGAAAAGAAAGTAATCACTAATGTTCATGATCCAATTTTAACATGCTACCTTGAAATAATTATTATTTTACACCCGAAATAGTGAAATTGATTTGTTAAATTTGGACGGTATGTAAGAAAACTCACCAATATCCTTTGTTTTTCAGCACAGGCATATTCGGTTTCGTCAATGTCATTATAACAATCGGATCTTGAATTTTTTGGTACACCTTTACCTCCATATTCACATAATTTATCCAATGAACGAGATTTAACAATCATTTTGTTAACATCTGTTGGCTTCTCTTGTGGACAATAGAAAACCTTGGGTGTTTTGATATCAAAAACGATGCTTTTTCTCATCATGTCTCCATGAACCAAGCCAATGGTCAAAATTAAGACCACTAATTTGAAATCTAAGGAAAAGAAAGGAAAGAAATTAAATAAAACATATTAGATATGTGACGACAGTTTAGGAAGGGTTAGGTCACTACCGATGATTATGTGAAAGCATAAAATATTGAGTGAAGTCAAATCTTTCTTCAATCATACGAGAGGCAGAAGATGTAATAATAATTAGTAGATTATCTATAATTTTCATTAACTAATCTGACTGACTGAAAGTAAAGCCGTCATGAAAAATATTCGGACAACGAAATAAAAATAAATAAAACAAGATGGAGAAAGAGAAACAATAGAAAGGATAATAAGACTAACTATAGTGAAGTAATTGTTTTTTTGTGAATATACTGGCTAGTACTGTTGTTGAATTGACTAAAGAAATATAGGAATTTTAAGCGTTAACTTACCCATAATGGCCATTGTAGATATCTGGTAAATAACTAGTTGATGAATCTATTGGAATTTAACTGAAATTTTGTGGATCAGGAGAGAGAAATGATGATGGTGGTAATGGCGAATGATGTTATTCATATGCCAAGTATGGCAAAAGTCATTGAGAAAAAGAAACGGATGATGGTTAACTCAGCTTCTTTAGCGTTGATAAAACCGGTTTTACCTAAGAAACTTCCTCCATTATTCTTCAGTAATCTTTTTTATAATAACTTTTCTCTCTACCTTTCTCATCACCATTCTTCCTTCTTCTCCTTCATCATTTCATACTATTTTCTCAGGATTATCTTTTACTGTTCACCAGATTTTGGACATGAAATGAAAAAGATGATGAAAAAAGAAGCGTCATTTCATGAGGCCTTGGATTTATAACCTTTGATCAATAAAACCTAATCTATCGCTTCAGTATATATCAGAGCGATAGTCCAATCGTTCCTATTTCATGGCCTTTCCAGTCAATTCGTAATGACCTTAACCACCGAGTTATTCACAGGTTGTCCTTCACAATGTTGCAAGAATACAAGAATTCATTGTACATTCAAGAATTGTAATCTTGACCCATCTTCTTTCTAACTGGACAGATTGTAGTCCATTATAAACACAAACTCTTAATGGTCCATAGCACCTGGGAAGAGCAAGAGTAATACACGTTTTCCAATCAAAATATCAAAGTCCATTAGGTAGACGTTCAGCAGATAATCAAACAACACTTTAAAAAGGAGTCCAATTGATAGAAAGAACTAATGAGGAGTAAAAACTTCGATTATAAGATTATTCAATGGGATAATTTTTAATAAGCTGGTTTAATAAAGGTAACAAATGTTTAGTTTTATATACAACCGCAGGAAGAGAGAAACAATGAAAATGAAAAATGTGCAAATCATTCTCCATTGCTAACCGAAAGACGAAACCATTTCAATGGGCGCTTTTGGTAGATAAGGATTTTAATTACTGGCTTACCATAATTATTCATTAAATACTCGATTCATTACTTGTGTAAAATTTTATTAGCAGTTCTGGTCGCAATAATCAGTCATTAGGTTATCAAACTCTGGAGAAGTCTAAAAGTTATACAATGGAACAATCTAATATATTCAGTGATAGGTTGTTTACTATGATTGAAAACCCATCCAATCATTACTCATAAGCAATGATTCATCAGAAAATCTACTCTTGAATTTAAATCCAACATCAAGAATGCAATGACCAATGAATGAAATTAAAATTTGGTTAAATTGATTGAATGAACGAAGAATTTGAAATTGAATTGCCCGCGTTGTTTTAAAAGCTATTACAGTCCCCGAGAGGGAACGTGTTGTATAAAGTACAATAATCCGAGTCAAAATATAATAAACAAGACTTAAACATACGTAAACTCAAAACTGAGTCCTAATTTTAGGGCCGTTTTTAGGAAATTCATCTTGTTTTTTATGTTTGTCCGTGTTTTTTGTCCTCCCAAACCATATTTGTTTCTTTCTATCTCTCTCTGTTTCTCTCTAATCTCACCTCATCATCGTCTTCCATTTTTTCATATTGCTTTGCTCTCTTGAGTTTTTTTTGTCTTTTTTATTTCTGCTTTTTCTACACTCTCCATCAACATCATCATCATCAAACTCAACATCACACCACAATCATTTTTTCTTTTTTTACCAGCTTACAGCAATGTTGACCCAGTTGTCTCAAAAACATGAAATTCCTATGTCACCCAATAGACGGTTTTGGAATGAAGAAACCAACAGCGATTCTTTGTACCATATTTATTTAAAGAAAATTACATACTCGTCCAACAATGAATTAAATGATAGTGATATCAGTGATCCCAGTGGATACCGACGATCTGATCGGAAGCTTAAAAAAGATGAAAATCTCAATGGTAAACGAATAACTCGGGTTGATCAATCGGAAGATCGGCGGAGACGCTCAAAATCAGTTGATAAAAATGAAATTCAGGTAAGAAATTATGTCAACTCGAAAGCTTTCTTTTTCTATCTTGTTTACTTTCTTTCTGTTGCTAGTTTCTTGATTAAAGTTAGTCCGAAAACTCGTTATGGCTTGATTTGCCTACTTCAATTAATCTAAATTGTAAATAGATTGCTTCCTTTGTAAATTCAAGTCAACAGTATATTCTGTCAGTGACTATTACTCTACTTTTCCAAGTCTACATCAATTTCCCCAAGAGGATGTAATCAAACTGCTGTTTTTCAAGGTTTGCTTGCGTAAAGAATAATTATTTCTCATCCAGTCGCAACAGAATTTTTTCTGCTGTTATAAATCATAAACATTATTCAACTATTGACTAAACTAATTATTTTTTTTTGTTTTTCATTTGTTGAATTTTTGTAGAGCCTTCAATGGGAGACACGTCGTGTTCGTATTTTAAAAGCTGCCACCATGGACCACATAATTGAATTCATTTTACTGTTAACTCCTCATCAACGAGACACAGAATTAACATCACGAAATCATCATTGTACGTCACAAATGGAAGAGGAACGTAATGATGTTACTCATATTATGCATGTTTTATTTTGCACTTTCCGGATCTACTGTTCACCCCAAGAGCTTTTCACCATTTTTATCAAGCATTCAAAGAAAGCATCTCCACAGCAATTGCGATTTGTAATCCATTACTGGTTAAGATACTATCCAGAAGATTTTTTAGCTCCTATGGATAATAACTCAAAAATAGACTCTGGTTCAGATTCTAGCGCAAGCTGTAACGTAAACTCAACTCATTCACTTAAAAAAGAAACATCAGTTAGCGATGCTTACACCAACACTTCGTCACCTTCCTCTTCAATATCTTCATCTTCATCTACTTCCTCATCAACAAGCAATTACACTAGCTCTATCAATGACAGACGAAGCGATAAAAAAGAGAGTGAATTATCAGAATCAGTTACGAGCAGTAAATCTAGAAGTAAATCATCATCTACATCATCAGTTTCATCTTCTGTTTCATTAACTTCTCAGTCATCAAACCAAAGAATATTATTAGATCTATTACTAGAATTGCCTTGTATCGATGATACACTCTTTCGAAAAGCTCATACATTTGTTGAACAGCACAAAGCTCAACTATCTGATAATTCAAACCAAAATTCTAATAAACACAATAGTAATGGAAGTAATGTAAGATATCTTTTTGAATAATTCAACTTTTAATAACAGATTTTAATTTTCAAGAAAATCTAACTATTTTCATATCTTTTTACAGCCTATCAACAAATCACCATCATATTGCATAATTGATTTAGATACAAAATTTGTAGCGCAACAATTGACTGCTATTGATTTGGTATGTGTTTATTGATTAATTATTGTCACATCTAAAATTCTAATATCTTTATTGTAAATCTAATGTTATTATTATTTACTTATTTTTATTTTGTTTTTGTTTAATAGGAAAATTTTTTATCACTCAAACCATATACTTTATTGAATGGCCATCGACACAATCCAAGAGTTCAAAATATGATACGAAATTTTAATCTTTTATCTAAACACGTTGTTGTTACCATATTAAAAGCTCATTCGTAAGTTTTATTATTTGATTATATGTAATAGAATATGTTATGTATATGTATATTAATGATATCTTTTTTTGTTTTAATGTTTAGTCCTGATCTAGTCACTACTCATTGGATTAATATCGCCCAACAATTACGAAAAATGAAAAACTTTAACTCACTTAAGGCTGTTATTGCAGGATTAAGTAATGAATCTGTATTTCGTTTGAAACAAACAGTTTGGTCTAAAATAAGTAAAACGACTGAAGCAACATTTAAACATCTTTCTACAATTGTTGATGATGTTGATAATCAAACATTGCTTAGACAAACTCAACTTGAAATTGAAGGAACTGCTAAAGTCTGGTAATATTTGCAACTCCACTAATATGCTATTACAATGATAATGTAATTATTAAGGCAGAGAATAATTATTTTCAATTTTATTTTCAGCATCGAAGAAGAATCGTTTGGTACAATACCTTACCTTGGTACTTTTTTAACTGATCTAACTTTCATTGATACTAAATCTAGTAACTATCTTGAAGTAAGTTTAAAATTTATTTTGCACTCAATTCAAAAGTAATGTTTTATATTAAATTCAATCTTTTCATTTCAGAATCCTAAACCGGGTGGAAAAAGACTTATTAATTTAGAAAAATGTTGCAAACAATTTGAAATCATTACTCAAATTCATTTACTTCAACAAAATATTAAAGCATCATTAAATGCATTTCAGCAATCTCAACAATTAAGCGGACTTTCTCAACTCCCATCATACAATAGTACTCCAAACGTACCAAGAATCGTTGTTGCTCGTTTATTCAGAGCCTGGTTTCAAGATTCAGTAATAGCTGAAATGACAGATAATGATTGGTAAGCTGATTTTTTCATTTCAACCTTGTCAAACCCATCCATTAAAAACGGATGATGTTCATGTATTGTTCCATTCCTGTTTTTTATTATTTGATTAAGACGATAAATCATTATTTTTGATTTATCTATTATCAAGAAACTGAAAATTTCAATCTCACACTAATGTTCTCAATATTTTTTCTCTCTTTTATCCGTTCTTAATTCAGTTACAAGTTATCACTCGCCTTGGAAACATCACAAACTCAAAAGAAATGAAGATTCATGAGCACTGCATTAATGCCTTTTTTATATAAATTTATAAAGATATTTTTCTACATAATTATAACAAGCGACATTTTTTGCATTTGCATTTTAAACTGCAATCAATGACCAAAAGAATCTCTGTTCATCTCTTGTTTTAAAATCTATTGCATTTTATCCCAAAAATTTAACTATCCAGTTAAATACCGTATCTCAATCAAACCCAAAAATATTCTCACAATCTATACATTTTTTAAAAAGTCCCACTTTTTGTTAAAACCAAACCAAACCCAAACCAAAAAAACAACTGTTTTTATGTTCTTTTTTTTTGTTTTTTTTATACAAAACCTAAGATACTAAATATTTATCCGAAAAATTTCAAGTTTCACCATCATTGTTTTTACTCACAACAGGACAAACGGTTCAATTTCAAATGGTTCAGAACAAAGGAAAAATGGAGATTATTTTGCTAGCCTTCATCCTTTCTCTTGCGTTGGTTAACTTAGCGTCAGAATAATTGAGATCCATTTCAAGGCCTTATCGTGATTCCCTTTCGTTGATCAATTGACTTAAACTCAAGTTGATAAATTATTGTTAATCTTTCAGATTCGCCCATTTCTCTATTTCATCTTTTTAAATTCATTTCAAAGCTTCTCACTGATAGCAACTGTCACGCTAATTTGAACTACCTCACCCTGAGAAGAGGAAAAAAAAGAGTTAAATTTTATCAGCTGAAAATTGTAAGTTAAATTAAATCACATGCCTGATCATTGTTTCACCATATAAACGCCTATTGAAATTATCACTCAATTGCAATCACAGTCATACATTATCCTGGTTAACAATAATCATTTCGAATCGATATTGATTTCAATCTTTGATAATTTTCGGCTTTTCTGGGAATATTGGTTGACTTCGGAGTGATTAACATTAATAGTGAACATTATTGGGTGCTTTGGCATTTACAATTATTACCCACGTAAATTGTAATGACGGTTAACAGGTAGACAAACCATTAATAAAAGAGGATTCAGGATGAAACACGTGAACCTTTTTTTTCTGTTATTTGCAAGGTAACCATTCCAAGATTAAGGTGATTGCTTGGTGACTGTCTCTCAGATTACCTTGAATAACCACCATGATTAATAAACATGCAAATTGAAATTAGATTGAGCAAAATTAAGAAGCATATGGAAAGACCATTTTAACCGTCAACTTGAAAAACCAAAGCAATGCCTGATGTTATCTATTAGATGAAACATGCGATCAAATGAACAAATGTCATTATATAACAATTTGAATGTTAATTATACATTTAAATGGTTGCATTGTTTAGAGCATAAATTTAGTTGGTATCAAAGTTAATTATCAACACGAATAAGATTCTGGCAAAGCAATCCAACTTACCTTTAAGAGGCTTGTTGTTGAGTTTCATTTAATCTCGCTTGTCTCTCATAATCATGATGGTTCCTATTGCTGATTTATCTTGATGATTATTTCCGAGGTTGCCCTAGAAATGTATGATGAAAACTAAATCTACATTAAAATGTGCTTTTTGTTTTCAACTTTTCCCAGATTTACCTTGATAATTTGCCAACATTGAATTTAAATATGTTGACAGATGTTGCCATTGAGCCTTTTCTGGTAAACAAGTGAATTGGGATTAGCTTTACCTTTAAACTGGCTGTTAATCATCTTCTATTGGCTGTAAAAATTAAAAATTAACAATCATCTACCCATAACCCTGTTTTGAAAGCAAAAGGATAGCTTTCATTTGAACATCAATTGGATACCTTTTATACCTTTCTCGTCAGATTTTCACTAATGTAACGTTTCACTTAATCAAGCTGTACTATTAACAGTTAATTACAAAAATCAAGGGATAGGTGAGATGGAAAGGAATGTACAAATTGAAATTGATTTACCTTAACTGTTAAAGGTTTACTCCATCATTTTATCATTTATCAAGCTTACATTATAGCTAATAACCTTTATAACAACTGAGCTTTATTGATTACTGTTAGTGTATTTGTGAATGTGTGTAAATGTATATTAAGATGTAATCAATAGATTTATGTACTCAATGATTAAACTGCATAAGAATCAAACAAACCAATTTGTTGATTTGTTTTTCACTCAAAAATACTTAATAACATACAAGTGTTACCGGAAAACATGAAAAGACAGCAATCGATTAGTTATCGAGTAAAACATTGATTGACATATATTTGGTTAAAATCTATCGAATCACAATTAATAGGTGATTTACTTGAAATCCCATGAAATGGTAAAGAAAAAAAATAACAATAAAATATCTGGAAAAGGTCAGCTATCATAGAATCGCAAGGAATGTTGTTGTCTAATCCATTGAATGTTAACGCATTAAGATTTTAGTATCGTTTGCAGTTGACTCCACAATTGAACACTTGCCAAATGCTCAAATTTGTTGAGGTTAGTTTTTGTTGGCTCTGAATTACCCAATTAACCAGATGACTATCAAACTGTATGATGAAAATGACACATTATTGAACTTGAAATTCATAAGCACAAGGTTAAAAACATTTATAACACTCACAAAAAATAAGCACATAAAAGATACATAATGAGCGATCCTTTTTGTTGAGTATAAAATCTTGACAACACAAGGAATGATCAATCAATTTTTTACTCAATATGGACTGTGATGAAAGTTGATCAGTTTTTTTTATATTTGTCAATTGACAGTTTATTTTAACCTGCCAATCATCATTAATTCAATACAATACTGTAATCTGCTTTTTTCCCGCGTCAGAATTATATAAAACTAACAAAACAACAAACCAAGAAAAGGCAAACCAAAAAATCGGGTTAACTTTAATACTAGATTTATAACTCTGGTTGAACCTAAAAAAAGGTTACTATCGAAACTGAAAGTATGATGTTAAATAGGACAACCAATATCAGGCAAGATATCAAATGATCATCAACAGTAGCAATTACAATTAGTTGTTTGCCAAGTCTTAAGTTTCAATTAGTCAATAAATGATTTTAAGCAACTTGAAAATGACAAAGAGGTTCATTTTGTTGACTAGACACAAAAAGATTCTCATTTTGAAAGGTTGCCTTAGTTTTTGCTGGCTAATAATAACATCGAGGTGAGATTTTTTATTGAAAATCAATGGAGATCATGGTGAACATCATTGAGTAATTTGAAATCACGCAATCAATTTGTTACCGAATGTAATACATTTACTTTTATTTAATAACAAATGATGGAAACGATAGATAAATCACGATCATAATCATCATCATCATAATAACATTTTATTCTCTGTTTTAATATCATTGTTATTACACTCTTTTCGTTATCCCAATAATCTTACCTGATTCTGGTGATTAGGTTATCAGCCTGGTTTCATTTATTCCTGATGATTATTGTTACAATTGAATGATTTATTAAATCACATCGTTTTTCCCTCTCTTTCCTAGTGTTAACCACTGCCACCACCACCACCAGTGATACTCCTGCCAATAACATTTAATCACACATTTTTGTCTCGAGCTATCACCACCATTTTTGTTTCTTGCACCAACACAGAGTCATTTCAGTTTGTTTGTTTGTTTTTCATGAGAAACCAGACATTTTTTTGCCTTCTATTTTACATAAAAGTGAATAGAAATATTGAGTAATTTCATTTTTCAGGTTTATTGTTGATTTTGTGCTTCCTCAACTATACAAATTTGCAATTTGCTAATCTCTTTAAAACCTTGTTAACTTGGTTTGCAAGTAAAAGAAACCCTGTGACTGTTTTTTGGTAACAAACTCTGAGTAAGTTTCTTTTTTTTTCTCTTCTTTTTCTCTTCTCTTTCTCTTCTTCAATTTTCTATGTGCGTGAAAAAGACTTGCTTATTATTTATACAACATGATGTTGATGGTTACCATTAACTCTCACTTTAATCACTCAACTCAATTTATCTCCAGTCTTGTTCAGTCTCACTCTATCTTTCCCTGTGTATGTTTCTTGTTTCCCTCTTTCCCTCTTTTGTTTCCACATTAAACATACAACTTCAATGTAATCGTCATCAGTAACATCACACATTGACGTTCTGTTGCAAGTAGGCGACATCCCAACTCATTTCATTTCCATCATCATAACACCATCAACATCAACATTCACAACATTCAACATTATTCCATCAGTGAACAAAATAACAATTTCATCCTTGGCATAATCTCAATCAGCATTTGTTTTTGTCTGTAGTGCAAATCTTGGTGCATATCATCTGCCTTCTGCTAAAATTTTTCGACCATCAATTACACCTTTTTTTGTTAACTTTCAATTAATTTGTGAAAATCAACTTTGGTTCATAAATTTGTTTCGTCTTGCTGTCTCACCTAAACCAAACTTTCACCCAATTTCAATTGAAATTTACCCGAAAAATTCCATCTTTTGTTTTGTACCCTCGATACCAATTGCAATTTGAAATCTTCGTTTTGTTAACCCTTTTTGTGCTCAACTTTGCATGAAACCAGCTACAATTAATTTTGTTTTCTGTTAATTATCCCAATTGTTCAGCTGATTATCCATTGTCAGTTTATTCTCTCTTTTGAAAAGGTAAATGTTGCAAACATGATATAATGTGTTTATTGGTTTACTCTCACTATTTTGCAGCGATCTGATTACCTATTTTTGCTAACTGTGTCTCATCTTTCTTTATTATTTGCCACCCGAACATTATCAGTTCAACACATTTGTGCTGCTGTTGCTACTATTGATATACCTACAACAATAAAGTCTCATCGAATTACTCTGGCATATTATTGTGTTATTATACGTGAAACTAAATTATGGTTAACTTAACCTCGTGTTGTTCCAGTTAACCCGATCGTTTATTTATTCATTGACATTATTATTATTATCCATTGTTGAGGAACCAAGTTTTGATTAATATTCAACTCAACCAATCAAATGAGATACATTGGAATAAAATTCTGGTTCGTTGATTTTGTAATTCATATTCCCTCTATTAGCATCATCATCGTCATCTACTCCGTCATCGACATCATTATCATTTATTACCATCAATATCATTTTTCCATATAAATGATTTTACAATGATTAGGAATTCATGTATTTTCCATCTTGGTAAAAGCCTTTTCTACCATTGTGACTCAATGAATAGCAATAAGTCCATTCTAATTTCCCTCATAAACTATTTTAATTAATTTAACATGCTAATGGTGATGATGACAACGATAATAATGATGTTAATAATGATGGAGTTAAGAGAAAGGGCAAAAAACATTGTTCCAGATGATGTTAATAATTATTGTACAATAGTGACATTGACAATGATTCTTGTGATAACTGTTAATTATGACATTCTAACTCTTAATTATTTCCTTTATTTGTAATAGGCGATCCGATCGCAAATTGAAAAAGGATGAAAACCTGAATGTTAAACGGATGGCTCGAATTGATCAACCCGAGGAAAGACGACGTCAGTGTCGATCCAAGTCAGTGGATAAAGATGATATCAAGGTAAAGAGTTGATTTCAATTGGCATCTAAAAGTGTCGAAATGAGTAAAAGCTCTTCAGATGAACAATTGAACACTATGTAAACAAATATGTGTTCAAAATGAATCAATTTCATCAAGATAACACGCTAATGGGAACTTAATCATTTAACCTTCTCAAAGCATGTACATAGTGATATGTTAACAGTAAATGAGATTAATACTGATTTCTGATTAACTCTTTTTATTTTATTTTCCAGAATCATTCACGAGAAAAACGCCGAGTGCGTATTTTGAAAGCAGCAACCATGGATCATATAATTGAATATATCCTTCTACTAACTCCACATCAGCGTGAATTAAATCTATCGGCAACTATTCACCACTGCAGCTCGTTAATGGAGGAAGGTCGAAACGATGTAACCCATATTATGCATGTTATATTTTGTACCTACCGTAAATACTGTTCACCTCAAGATTTGTTTGCAATTCTGGTTAAACATTCAAAGAAAGCATCGCCACAACAATTGCGATTTGTACTCCATTATTGGTTAAGATATTATCCGGAAGATTTTTTAGTTCCTTTGGAAAATGAAATTGTCGACTCAACAAATGATAGCAACGACCCTCCTTCAACTACTACCTTATCAAACATTACTTCCTCGTTAAAAAGTAATTGTCTTTTAATTACAAACAACATGAAAAATAACAATGAAAATTGTATTAAGAATGATGAAACATCAAAACTTGATTCTCAACCTGTTATTCAAAGTAAATCTCTCCGCAGTTCATCAATCTCACCATCGCCCACTAAAATTGTATCATCATCCACTATGCCCTCAAACCAAAGAATATTATTAGATTTATTGTTGGAATTGCCCTGTGTCGATGATACTCTTTATCGAAAAGCTTACTTGTTTATTGAACAAAGTAAATTTGATCAACCCGAGCAAACTCCGCGTAGTCGCCATAACGTGAGTATCATTCAATTGTAAAAAGCAAACAAGTCGAATCGTTTTCTAACTTAAATTTTCTATTTCTCTGCAGTCCATCAACAAATCACCATCATATTGCATAATTGATTTAGATACAAAATTTGTAGCGCAACAATTGACTGCTATTGATTTGGTATGTGTTTATTGATTAATTATTGTCACATCTAAAATTCTAATATCTTTATTGTAAATCTAATGTTATTATTATTTACTTATTTTTATTTTGTTTTTGTTTAATAGGAAAATTTTTTATCACTCAAACCATATACTTTATTGAATGGCCATCGACACAATCCAAGAGTTCAAAATATGATACGAAATTTTAATCTTTTATCTAAACACGTTGTTGTTACCATATTAAAAGCTCATTCGTAAGTTTTATTATTTGATTATATGTAATAGAATATGTTATGTATATGTATATTAATGATATCTTTTTTTGTTTTAATGTTTAGTCCTGATCTAGTCACTACTCATTGGATTAATATCGCCCAACAATTACGAAAAATGAAAAACTTTAACTCACTTAAGGCTGTTATTGCAGGATTAAGTAATGAATCTGTATTTCGTTTGAAACAAACAGTTTGGTCTAAAATAAGTAAAACGACTGAAGCAACATTTAAACATCTTTCTACAATTGTTGATGATGTTGATAATCAAACATTGCTTAGACAAACTCAACTTGAAATTGAAGGAACTGCTAAAGTCTGGTAAGTTTAACTTAATGCAATGAAAAACTGTGCCATTTCCTAATCAAATTTTCTTTATTTTCCCTCTAGTTTCGAGGAAGAATCATTTGGTTCTATTCCTTACCTAGGAACATTTCTAACTGACTTAACTTTCATTGATACCAAGTTGACCAATTATATTGAGGTAATTTTCAAATCAGTCATTCAATTCAATTAGCACAGTTTAATGAAAGTAAATCTTATAACGTCTTTTCTCTTCTGTATTTCAGAATCCCAAAGAAGGTGGTAAAAGGCTCATAAATCTGGAAAAGTGTTGCAAACAATTTGAAATAATTACTCAGATTAGATTGCTTCAACAAAATATCAAAGCATCTCTTTTTGCCCTTTACCAATCACACCAATTAAATGGATTCACCAAATTACCGCCTTTCTACAGTAACTCAAATGTCCCCAGAATAGTTGTTGCCAGATTATTCAGAACATGGTTCAACGACTTGATAATCTCAAATATGACTGATAACGATTGGTGAGTGCAAATAATTGAGATTATCTCGAAAAATCAATCTTCAAATTTTTAAAGGTTGATTTATTGAAATTTTTCCAAAAATGAAATGTATTCTAATTTTCCATTGCTTATCATTGCAGCTACAAATTGTCTCTCGCCTTGGAAGCTCCTTCAAATGGTAGAAAATAATTGACTGTGTTACCAACTTCAACTAACCTTTTCATCACTTGTTGATTTGAAATTGGAACTCTTCGCATAATTGACTCAACATCAAGTAACCAATCATCTACTGTATAGTTGTAAGACAATCTCATTCCATCCTTGGAAAGACCTATTTTGTATTTATGATAAAGTCTTTAAAAAAACTCGTCTTCCAAAAGTCTATTTATTTATTTAGCATATTTAAAAATGCCTTTTTTGTGTAAAATAACATAAATGATAATTTTCATTAGATTATGGTAAATAAATTTTCATTTAGATTATATTTTAATGATAAATCCAAGCTACAATGTTTCAATTATTTTACCAATTCTCATGGTTCAACTCATGGCTGTAAATCATTTAGAAAAAGATGAATAAATTGCAATCTTAACCAATTCAATGAATAAATGTTGTGTTAAAGTAATCATTTCATTGACTTTACGATCCATTTTGACGTTGATCGCAATGGGCCGCACTTTCTCATTACCAATGTAAATCAAGGAAATCATAAGGAGACATTGATTGCTAGGAAAATTTCATTTCATTAGCTAATCAAACATGCCCATGAGGGATGGAAACACTGCTTTAATCATAAATTAACTGTGATTTACTTTAATGGTGCATAGTAATTCAATTTATTCACAATGATTTAACCAAACTACATTTATTATTCATCCAGACTACAATCAATTGGTTTCATTAACCATATACTGTCTGATTGTACACAAGCAAACAATCAGCCAACGTAATTATGTTAACAACCAGGAATAATTAATATGACAAATATTCACAATTTGGTAATAAACTTCAAATGCTGCTTCAATTTTATCTCAACAGTTTTAAAAAAAGCTGCAATTACTTCCGTAATGATTGTTGGTTATTGATCAAATAAACACAGTGTTCAAGGTTTAATCAGCTGTAAACACAATAAGTTTGTTTATTAACTAGAGTCCAATGCTCTTGGATTTCAACTCAACAGAAACCATTAAAGTAAGTATTGGTTTTTAATAGCCACAATTGCAAAGACTAATCAATATCTTCAATTTTTGTCACAGGAATTCAATGGTTATAGACTGAATTGGCCAGTTTGCATCGATGGTATTGTTTTGACTTTTGCTTTTAGTGCTTTGAATATGCTACTCTGAACAATTTCACCTTGCTTCTCAGCTTTTTCCTCCCTTGTAGATACGCTATAAGTTATCCAAGCTCCAATGAAACCGGCAAGCATCAATATCAATCCAATTGAAGATATAAGGATAGCCTCTTGGGTTGTTATACCCAATATAGAATCGTAATGCATGGAATCAATGGTAACTGTTCCAATTGGAAATACATGTTTATCAAATGATAATGAACAGTTGATGGTCTTTTTCACTAGTCCATAATCATTGAGTATAAAAAAGATGGTTTTGGAATCGATAAAGTCGGTTGGAGCGGAAAAATTTTTGTCTCTTTGACCAATTTTGTGACACACTGCAGTTGTATTTGGGAAAATATACCCAGTTTTGCCGATAATCACCTTATTTTCATTAGAATCCCATCTAATAGAATTCATTTTTGGCTTGTTATTGACACTGAATCGCTTATTAAACACACTTTCCGGTTGTCTCACATTATGAGAGTAAAAATAGGCATCGGCTTTCCAATCACCCATTTCCTGTGAACTTTTAGGAGTACAGCTCAAATTGAAAGCTGGCTTGTAACAAGTTAACGAAGTTTCACTTGAAATTTCACAGTTGATGATAAGCTGGCATGATTGTTTCAATGCTACACTGAGCAGCTTGGATTTATCAAAACGTATTAAAAAGTAGGGCTGGTAAAATGAATCAAAATTTTCACCTTCAATCAAAATGTTGTGATCGATTTCATCATAAATGGAAAATCTCGACGTTGAAACGTGAAAGGTTGGCTTATTGCGCCAAACAGGGAACAGTGTAGCAAAAGCATCGTTGGAACAGCCTCCGTGGCAATAATGAAATTTGATTTTTAACCTATTCAGGCCATCAGCTCCTTCTTTGGTGTATTCCTGTTCGTAATTTTTATTTGGACACACAAAGGTATCGGTAAAGTTGCTGGGACAGGTGAAATTGAGTCGACCTGTAGTGCCACATAAAATTGAGCAAATTTCGTGTTCGGTTTGTGTTACTTCAAATGAACAAATTCCTCCATTGAAACAGTGGCTAGGAATCATATCGAGTTGCTCCATTATATTTACAAACCAGATAATGGTAAATAGTTGGTACAAAAGATGCGAAGCCATGATTTACTAATCAAGAAAATTGAAAGCGACATTTATCTTTCTTCTTTTTAAATTCTGAGTCACTGAGGAAAATGCCATTAGTTGGTAAACTCTTAAAAAATGTAAAGTAAAATGAATTTAACCATCGAATCCTGTAAAATTTGAAACGAGAAGAAAATTAAATATCTTGATGTGTGGATACATTTTTTGTTAGCAGTTAGAGTATCTTTATTTTAAATGTAAATTGATATCAATATGATAAAGATCGGATTCCAAATGTTTAATCAAAAATCTTGGTCATTTCTGGATCCACTCCGAGTGTAATGATTCCTTGCATATTTGGTCCAATATCTGCCATCGAAATTGTGGTTCTGTCACCTTCAAAATGTTTATAAATACCATCATCTCGACTGGCCAATTTATTTTTCGATTCGTATTCTTTCCTTTCTGTCAAGTGGTAAAGTTTGTTGAAAAAAAGTTGACCAATATACATTGGCTTGGAAGTTGATTTGTCAGGATAAACCTCAATGTGAATGTGCTGAGCCCGACCTTTATACCAGCCTGGAATGATTGTTGCAAACGATACTTCTCCAGCATAATTAGAGATTTGGTAACCTCGAAGAAAATTTTGGCTTTTCATTGAGGCTGGTGCTGCGCTCCTCTTGATAAGATTCAATTTGGAATTGGAATTGAGATTTTCTGGATTTGAAGCATAATTGGGTGGATTGTTGAGTTCTGGTGTTAGTTTTGTTCTTGTGTCACGAGTTTTTTGATACACTCTCGACTCATCGAACGAATCATCGGTTTCCTTTTCACCAACAATGTTAAGACTTCTTGACTTGCGTCCGTTATTGAACAGAATACCAGATTTTTGATGAGATGAGTCTATACCTGAATATTCACCTTTAGCGTTTGCATGCCAAATATGTACATAAACGCCTTTCAATGGTTCACAGGTACGGGCATTTATTAGCCTAATGATTAAATGTAATTTTATTCCTGGCTCTCCATCGGTAATGTTGGATCGCTCCGGGTCATTGGGTAGGAAATAATGTCCTTCATCACTAAATGGGGATAATTCACAGATGTATGAAGATTTATTTTCATCTAAAAATTGACTTTTTGCTTCGTCTAGCTTATTATCATCAATAGGCCTGGGTTCAACAAGATGGCAAATTAAAACAATAATCACTTGGACTAACATTTTTCACTTGGCATAATTTATTATTTTATTTTGAACTTGTTGAGATGAATAATAAAGACTGAACTAGCATCGTATTAAACGCAATGATATCAAAACAGTTATCAATTTCCATAATTTTTTGCTGTCAATCATTCATTTCATCATTGAAATTATCAATTATTTTGATTCATGATTGCAATGATAATATGAAATACAACATAAACTAAAAGATATTTTAGAGAGGTTTCCTGATCAAAAACAATTTTATCCAAGCAACCAGTACGTTTCAAACATGATAAAGCGGTAAGAGTAAGGTTTTACGGACTAAGGAGGGGCAATATGGGACATTTAAATTAAGATCCAATCAGGTTAATGTTAGACTAATGTTAATGCTAATGTTAGACGAATGTAAGAAAGCTAATGTTAGACGAAAAATCATTAAGATCGAGATCAGTGAAACAAAATCTTGAAAAGTGAATGAAAAAAGGAAACGCCACACATTTAGGAAATTATTTTCGACTTTCTATGATATTTACAAAGGTGCTGAACAATGTTTATTGAGCCTGATGGGGCCACCAGATAGGGTAAAAAAGAAATGCTTGAACGTTTATTTCCATAGAGTGAAAGCGCAATACATGTATCTCATAAAGCCAGAAGGTTTTTAAAAACTCGCACAGCATCATTGGGGTTAGAATGAAAAGTTGTATCTGAAAAATTAGGTCGAGGTGGTCATCGAGGGTTCCAACGGATTTCTAAGTAACTTCCCGGTGGAGTACGAATTTCGTTTAGCAAGACATCCTCTACACACCATTCAGCTTTCGATTCGATTGATATATGGTTCATTGTTCTGAACTTTAGGCCGAAAATCCAACATTTTTGGCCAACCTCCTCTGCTCAACCCTTTCAAACTCCTGGTAGTCTTCATAACGTGATTATATCATTCAATTTTCAATGTAAAAAGGCAATAAAGTCCAGGTTGACCATAGTCACTTTGGTCGACTAGCAAGCAAAACGAGTTTAGTGGCAAGTTTAAGCGGTTAAGCGCATCTAATTTCGACGCAAAAATTCGCATTTATGGGAGTTGGCGGGGGAAAATTTTTGATCAGATTTACTATTACGGCTTGATCTTATGTTTCCCTATTTTGTGCATTTTTACAACCTAAATATTTGATTTAAGTTATCATTTGAACTGATTTTATTATTTATTTTTATTTTTTTACCTTATGCATTTGTTTTGTTTACTTGGCAACAGATTTAAAAATGGTGCAATTTAAAATGCTTCAGTCGGTTAAGCTTTTTAACCAACTGATGGCTTTTAGACATTTCAGCTGCTCACTCTACGGCTAGACTCGCTAAAATGGTTTATTGGCAGCTAGTCAGCTGATGCTTATTAGCTTGTCGCTAAGGTATCCAAAGTTTATAATTTATTTTAAAGTGCATCGGATGTGTGCTACAGCAGTGTTTCCTTAGTGGATTGTGATTTTGCTCTGCTTTATAATTTTGCTCGTGATAGTAATTGATTTATTTGTATTGAAACGACTACTATTGGACTGGCCATCACGGAATTGTGAAAGGACTGGAAAAAAGAAAAAGGGTTAGTACAACGTGGAACTGTATAGAAATGCAGTATACCGAAGGCACTACAAATTACGGCACAATATTACATGGCACTATGCATTTGTTTTGTTTACTTGGCAACAGATTTAAAAATGGAAAACGCGACAGCGTTAAAAACGATTAAGCTTTTTAACCAACTGATGGCTTTTAGACATTTCAGCTGCTCACTCTACGGCTAGACTCGCTAAAATGGTTTATTGGCAGCTAGTCAGCTGATGCTTATTAGCTTGTCGCTAAGGTATCCAAAGTTTATCATTTATTTTAAAGTGCATCATCAATCTTGTATTATTTTTGTTTTGTGTTTAAGTCAAAATGACTAGTTTGGACTCTTTAGAAGCTCAATTAGAGTTGTTTATTGAAAATTTAAGACAATTGGGAATCATTGTTACTGACTTTCAACCACAAGGACAAACTGTTTTAAATAGCAAAATTAATCAGATCATCACTTCGCTACAAGAGATTGACAAGAATAAGGATAAAATACCTGATATTCAAATACCATTGGAAGTATTTGATTACATAGACCAAGGAAGGAATCCACAATTGTTTACTAAAGACTGTATGGAAAAAGCTTTGGCCAATAACGAGCTATTAAGGGGTAAAATAGATGCAACGAGGAGATTCAAAACCATGCTTCTTATTGAACTAAGTAAGGTTTTTCCTAATGATATGGCTCGTTATAGAGCTATTAGAGGTGATGAAAGAGCCAGCTGAAAAGGAAAAGATCTGTTTAAAGATTTTCCGTATTTATGAAAAAAAAGAAACATTTTCTAATATCGAGATATACCATTGCTTACCTTTGACCAACCAATTGTACAACTAAATAAATGGTATAAAAATACATACCGCTTTTGTTCGCTCACATAAATGAGATGTTCGTGAATCATTTTTTCTTGTGTGTTTCATCTTCATATCGGCAAACAAATTGTAAGTCAACAAAGATCAAGACTTTCAGTTTGGAAATGCAAAAAGCATATAGTTCATTTGTTTACTTTTCACAAAATAAAATTACAATGCAATGTTTGGTCTTATTACAAGACTGTTATCAATAAAAAATCAAGTCCAGCCTAGACCGTCTGCTTCACTTTCATCAATATCATTTTCAGACTCTTGTGGTTCATCTTCCATCTCGGGTTCGTCTTCAATTTCGATGGATGCTTCAGCTGCACCAGATCGACACGATGGATGCTCTAATCTTTGAGAGGCTATACAATTAGCTCCATAATTAACCTCCAATCTAGCAAGAAAATTGCGAAAAAATTAGGATATTTTCAAATTTTCGTTTTGCAAGCAACTCACTTTGAAGCAATATTATGATGATGGAGAGCTTTATCTTGCTCATTTTTTTCCTTGTAGCAGTCTCCCAGCAAACGGTGGAGTTTCTCGTTGCTTTCTTTTTCAATGGCATTTAAAAGTCTGGATATTACGGATTAAAAAGAAAAATTTCAATTGAATTGATTGAATCAAGCAAATATCAGTATCATGGATAAATTCCTTACGTTTCGATGGCTTTGTCAACCTTTTTGTCCTCTGTATAAATTGTTACTAGTAAATAAACAGCAGGAAGATAACCTGGATCTATTTTAATTGCTTTTTCCAGAGATGTCCGTGCATTTTTTTTATTCGAGCCTTTATCGGGATCCGAGAGGAGCACTTCGGCATAAAGCTGTTGAGAAATATATAAAAAATATTTTATAATTGTCAATGAGAGTCAAAAACTGTCTTGAAATTGTAGATTACTTACAGTTAATGTTCTAGGATTTTGTCCTAAAAGTTTAAACGCAGTAGCAATGATTGATGAAGCTTGAGATCGTTTATTTTCAGCCAAGTAGACGTCAGTTAAACCCTTTAAAGCTTCAAATCGGTATGGTGAGACATCTAAGGCTTCTTTGAAGTATTTCCGTGCTTCTTTAAAAGGGTCTTCCTTCATCAAATCTTTACGAATGTTTGCCCTTTCATTGAGCCGTTTACTTATTTCGTCGTCTAATCTATACGTATGGACCTGAAGTTCCACGAGTCCGCCCAATATTAATGCTTCAATTGAGTTAAAACTGAGTTCACATGCTTTTTCGACAAAATGTTGAGCTTTGGTTGTCCTTCCATCAATCATTCGAATTTCTTTATGATCTCTCTTATTATTTCTGTCATTTCTTTCAACCCCTAAACAATAGTAACCTAAAACAATCCACGGTTCTGCTGATTCCACGTTTCCACAATTTGAATCACATTTGGGCAGCATTTCGTTTGCAAGTTTCTCTAATTCTTTCATTTGAAAATCCCTAAATAAACAGGCAGCATAAAAATCAAGTCCTTTAATAGATAACGGGTCACTGATATGGGCCTTTTTGAATGCTGAAATAGCTTTTTTGTAGTTTCCACTGTAGTAGAGAGCTTCCCCCAGGGATCGAAGAATGTCAGGATTATTTCGAAAATGATTTAACGAGAGGAGTTGCTGGAAAAGTGCACTAGCTTGACTAACATCAGGAGAATGAAGGGAACATTGAGCTTTAATCCATATAGATAACCATTCTAAATTCGGAGAACCAGCAATATTGACCATATTTAAAAGTTCGTTAGGTTTCAGGCCTAGCTTGATTAAGTTAACAATGATTTGCAGAGCTAATGGGCATTCTTTAAGAGCCTCTTTGTAACAGGCGATTGCTAAAAGTTCCTTCTTTTCTTTAAGATAAATATCCCCAAGAATATTATGAATCTTGGCAGTTCTTTGTTTCTGGGGTATACTTTCTAGGATCCAAGTGGCATTTGAAATTTGATTCATTTTTAAATAACATTGGCTTAATTTGCACTTAATATCGACTTCCGAGGCAACATCAATTAACCAGCTATTTTGACTTTTCTTCTTGTTTTTTGCAAAAGTTTTTCTTAAATCTAAAGCAAATTGATAGCTTTTCTGTAAAAAAAGAAAAATATAATGGATTAAATATAGATAGAAATAAATGATTGTAAGGAATGAGATGGGAGTAAAATTTACCTCTGCCTTGCAATAGTCACCCTCATGGAAATAGGCATCTCCTAAATAAATGTAAATTTGGTATTCCTTCTGAGGAAGCAAATTATCCAAATAGCAACTGAATTGTGGCAATGTTAAATTTAACTGTAAAAGAAAAAAATGAGAAAAAAATTAGTAAAAATGGACAAATGCAGCTCGAATGGAAAAATAAACAAACTAAAAAAAAATCAAAACAAAACCTAAAGACATATAGAATAGACTTACCAGTTGGACGATGTTTGAATAAAGACCTTCTTGGTGAAGATGCTTAACTGTTTGAAAAATATTCATAATTATTTTAGTCAAATATTAATTAACCTAAATACTAATAAAAAGATAAGTCAACAAACAAAATGTGTTGTTTCTCACATTTAAACTTGAGATGTCAGTTTACTCGTTTTCTGATTGGCTTAAAAAAGTGAAACAAAAGTGAATGTTGAAAAGCGGGTAACACAAATTTGACATTATATCTTTTTTTGTTTATTTTTATTATTCTGCTTATTAATCGAAATTTTATCGCTAATTTTATAATTAAAGAGTAACATGATGATCTAATTAATTTTTCAAGATCTGGATTTGTAAAATGACCAATCAATCAGTTCCTTGCCTGATTATTCAACCATATTTCAAACTGATAAATCCTCTCATCGTCTAGCAAAGAGTCTAATCCATGTAAATGGCTTAGTAAATGATTCTGGTGAAATTGTTGATCTTCATGTACTAATCAATATAGCAGACTGTAAACAGCAAAATTATCGGTTTTAGAGGCACTTTTACCGATGCAACTGAAATCAACGGCAAAAAATTGCCAGATAGTTATGCTGATTAATTGATTGAAGACTATTTTATCCAAATGGCTAGACTAGTTAAAATAGGTTTAACTTTTTCTCAACATTATTAGCCTTTATTTTACTTTTATTCATCTGATAATCATCATTTATTTTTGAGTTAGATTTTTTAAAGCATAACCAAAACAAAGCTAAGTTACGAAGCCCTCGGTATTCATTTTTGAGGATTTACTCCTGAAAATAAGTTCATGCTGGCCTTATCTCTAGGTAGAAGTAGGATGCTTTGGGCCCAAGTCCAAGTTGGTCTTCATTTTAATCGATACAAATCGTATATTGTTACATATATTATATAACGCTTCTATCGTCGTTCTTTTCTAATAAAAAGAGTAGAACCGATGGTCCTTAAGTCCTCAAGTGTTACCCAATGTATTAATATTACCTTCCAGATAAGATTCCTCTAGATATGTTACTTACAGAACTTACGAAAATCGTCAGACAAGGAACCTTTAGGCCTGTTAAAGGAGAAGATTTTCCTTTGATTAAAACTGGTCGTCATTTCAATGAAACACAATTTAAAATTGAAAAAGGTTCACTTACCGAATGTTTCATGGCCTGTTTAAACGATGAGGACTGTAATACACTTTCTTATTGCATTAACAAAAACAAGGAATGTATTTTGATTTTGATTTTATGTTATCAATTTATCTTACAAGGGAAGTGACCTTGCTTGCACGAACATTTTCGAGTTTATATTGTAGAGGACGAAAAATAATTAAACACGTATTCTTGCTTTTTTTTCTTGCCTCATCAAAAAAAGAAAAAACAATCAGAAATAGTTCCCTTGTTAGGGAACCTGTGATCTTTCTCATGTAAGTGCGGACAGGTGCTTGGCGACTTATAGCTAAGGTTTCGACTCTAGGTCAAAGAATATAGTTTTGCATTTAGGTACACATGTTGACTGGAGGACGAGATTTCTGCGCCTGAATTGGAGGACTTTGTAGAGGCAAAGACTTCTCATCTATGAAAATACAGTCATGTACCTAAAATCTTCAGTCTAATGTTGATGGTTCAGAATTTGAAAAACCGATTTCCAATAAAATTTTAAAAATAAAGAATGAACGCTAAAGTTTGTCACCAATTAAATTTCGCTTTGTATTTCCAACAATCGGTTTCGGCAATAAAAAGGATGAAGACCAAAAGAATAGGGAAAACTGCCTAGCATGAAATATTTTTCTCATGAACATATATGATGGCAAATTTCGAGAATTAATTTCTTCAATCCATTTTTCAAAATAATTTATCGTTTACGAGATATCATGAAATAACGTAAGAAATGCATGGGAACGAATAGCAAAATAATCAAAAGTGAAACCACCTTCTGAATGATTTTTTCAGATGTATTAATAGAAGTCAATTCTGATTTCAATGGAGTAATTTATTTACATCTAAAATGCCGCAAAACTGACCTTTTTTTCGATAAATGTAATAATTTACCGCCATTGAAGATATGAACATTGAAGGTGGTTCCACCTTTGATTATTTTGCTATTCGTTTCCATGCATTTCTTACGTTATTTCATATCTCGAAAACGAATCTTTATTTTGAAAATGGGATTGAAGAAATGAATTCAGCATAAAGTTTTACATCATATATGTTCACCACAAGAAAATTTCTTTCTAGGTAATTTTGGCCTTCCTCCTTTATTTTTAATAATTTTTTCGGGGATCATAAAAGCAAAGTGTAGCCTAGATGAATGTCTAGCAAAAAAATCTAGTAAAACAATTTTACAAATATGTCGAGCCATTATCTGATAGTGTCTGAAAAGCAGATTGGTGACAAACTTTATCGGTCATACCTTAACTCTAGCTTCTCTCTAACTCTAACTTCTTGATTAACGCTACTTTTTCATTAGTTTCTTACCCAGAGCGTCGTTTTTGGTCGCATTCAATCAATTTTATGCATTATTAAGGGATATGAATAAATCTCCGCCATCAGTACTTCAGGTTCGTAGAGATGTAGACCTGATAAGGTCAACTCACCTTAAAACTCACTATTGAAAGTGATGCTGTAAATTTTTTAAAAAATGTAATTTAATAATTCCGTAATCAAATCTTGCTTTGCTAACTTTAAGTCTTTATCTCACAGCATTTATCCGATTCTAAATAAATATTAAATATTTTAATTATTCAATAATATCAGAATTTTATTAAGTAGCATACGAAATATATCATTGGTTACACAGGAGATGGTTTGCAGATTGAATACAAATTTTGTGTAGGCTGAAAATTTAGAAAACAAAATAGTAGTTTAGAAAGAAAAAGAGTATAAAAAAGACTAAAAATGAGTTTTTCGAACTGTAGCGAAAAAAGAAAGAAAAACGAAACACTATTACTTACCGAACTCACCTTTTATTATATTGGTAAATGTTCAAGTAGATAGAGAGCAGAGAAGAAATAATAACTGAAAAAATATGTTGGATTAAAGGTAGCTAGATAAACAAAAGAAAACATACAATTAGCTTCTTTTATATTGAAGAACTCAGGTGTGAGCAGGAAAAGTTAATGCATTATGCAGATACATTAAACTCACTTACGGAAGTCATAAAACATAACTAATAGCACTAATCATTATTCCTAGTATTACTAATCCTAACAACAAAAATTTTTTTGCCATATCGAATTCGGATCCTTGTAGATCACCCCAACATCTAGTGGCAGGCCGGGGCAGTGCCCACAGATAGAACGAAACCTCCTCTATGCGATGAGACCCTTTTCCGGCCTTGACCTTGTGCGGCTTTCTGCAACTGGCGCGTTTTACAAATGTCAAATTTAACTACACTTACCCAAAAAAGACAAAAAGGAAAAACTTTTGTTTTTTATCTTGATTTTTTAACTGGAGGGTGTGGATCTTCCAAGGATCATAGCCGCATACGCTTTTTCCTTGTCACTTCTCTCATCTACCATCCACTCGTCCTACTGCGTTTGTATTACCGCGGGTACATCAAAATGTTCCGTTTCAATTCCAGTTGCTTCATCAGTTGTAGAAGTAACTTTGTCAGGTACCATGCATTTTACTATACCACAGGGAAACCTCGTCGGACGCTGCTTCACACCAATCCTTTTTGCGTTCAAACCATCCTTAGTTATTCGAGCTTCGCACGAGATGAATAAATATCTATCCCCAGCACTCCTTTTGTATCCGACAACATGTTTATGGAGCGACTTTGTATCCGTAACTCTTTTTACCAATCTTTGTAGGCACATTCGAAGACGCAATAGTTGTCTTCTTTGTATTTCTTAGCTGCCTTTTCCTGGTTCACCAGCATCCTTCTGTCTCCTTCTTCATCACTGCTATCCCTGCCAGCCTAGTCATATAATTCAGCTTCACTGACTTGCTGCATAGTGCTTAATTCAACGGGATCGATGAGTCTGTCTTCGGGAGTTATGGTTTGCTCCCATTCACCTCCACGCAAAATTCCATTCGCTGTTTTAGCGTAAATTGGCGTACTGATTGGGCGAAAGTCCATGTTAGCATGAGTCGCGTCAAACTGTTGTACTGGTACTGGTTGTACAACTGCTGCTTAGCTCTTACTTCTGGGAGACTTTCGCTTTGACTTCTTTGACCTTCTGGGTCTTTTTGCACCCGGTGTGATTGATCTATCGAGGGGGCAACGGTCCCTATTCCGCCACTGTTATTATTGTTATTCTCGTCATTATTGCCATTATCAATATTGACAGCACTACTACCATCATTTCCATTGCCATTATTTTCATCACCATTATTACCTTCATTGTTGGTATCGTGGTTGGGTCATAAACATTGTTATTATTGTTTTCATTGTTTCCATCATCATCAAAGACACATTCTTCGTGGCCAACATCTCCCAGCTCACCATCGCCCACTACGCCAAAATCAATTTCCAGGCGGTCGCTCCCGGCGAAGGAACGCCATCAGGCGTATATCGATAAATTGCTTAATCTTTACTGTCAGAATAGTCATCGTTGACGACGATCTAACGATGATCTAACGACGACGTTGAAAATAAATCGTCTGAAGGATCAGGAGCAGGTTTCTGCGAAGCTGTAATAAAAAAACGAAGAAAAACATGAAATACGCCGAGCATACATGGAGCCATAGATAAAAAAATTCGGCGTGAGGTAGCCTTAGAACGAGCCAAAAAACAAGAAAAAGGGAGTATAAAAGGAAAAGACATTGACAAAAAAAAACTGGTTCTACTTGACTGTGAATTGGAGCAGAGGATGAAACAAATGTAGAGGAGGACTGTTGGGGACATCTTTAGGCACAATTTGAAAGTAACTATTGTACAGATTGTAAAAAGAGTTAAAACTTCACATCATCCTCCCCTTGAGAGAGTCCAGTCCTTTGGACTAACAAAGAAAAGATCATTTGTGTTTCAGGTTACAGTGACCATTGTTTGTTTCTTCATCTTTCTCAGCATCTGTCATCAGTTTCTTTGTTTTTTCCTGTTGAAATGGATCCCGTAGAGTCAGTTTTTCCTCCGCTCCCTCCTCTAGTTCCTTTGTCTTCTTTTTCACGTGTGACCTCTGAATTATGTTCACCAAACCGTGTAATGACAACAGTGGAACCATTTCTACGATTTCTACTGGCCAACATCCAACAGCGGCGAAAGTAGTGTTCATGTTCCCGAGGCTCAGATGTGTCCAGTGAGGGTTCATCCTCCTCAGTAGAGAGTTTGGAAGCTCCAGTGGCAACTGCGATCCTTGTAGACTATGAAATCACTGATGTGGTGTGTGAGGGATTGGTAACGTTGGAAGATGGGACCAAGACAGTTTATGCTCATGTGAAGTGGAGCGACAGTTTGGTTCCAAGAAAAGATGTTGTTTGGACCAAAGAGGTTCCGTGGGGGCTACCGGAAGAGTCCCTGGCTTTGGCACGAGCTGACGATCCCGTTGCGACTGCAGTGGCCGAGCGGAAATTCAATTGCTCTTTTTGTCCTTCTCGTTTCACGGTCAATTATTCCAGACGGCCTCACGAGAATAGGTGTTCGGGTCCAGGCGGACCAAAACATGTATGTCGAGTCGGTTCAGATGGGTGCAAACCGAATCGTCCGGGTCCTGTCCCTTATGTTCCTACTGAGGATTTGAGGAAACATAATGGCCGTAAGGCCAAATCAATAGCTTAATTTGCTTTCCCTTAAATGTTTAGTTTCCTTCAATTCTGTACCTGGTTTATTTTACTTGGTTTGATTAAAAAAAATATTTCTACCGATTATTTCACCAATTGATTCCAATTGATTCCAATTTATTCAAAGTAGGGCAAATCGAGGTTCAAAGGTTGGTGCCGAACTTGTTTGGATGGTTTCGCTTTATGTTTCAAGCAAGCTTTAAGACTCGAAATCCAATTTACAGGAAGAAAATATTCTTTAATTTCTTCTTTGAATTTTGTCCAGCCAATTTTTGATTCATTAATGAGATTCTTGGCTCGTTGATGATACCATGTTTTAGCATCATCTTTAAGATAATGGAACATTTGAGCTATCAGTTTCATCCCAACGATATGCATCAGCATCTTCATAGTCATTCAGAAATAACAATAAATTCGAGTATGGCTTACCATTATATGGTTCGATTTTTGGAGGTCTTGGGTGAGAGACGTTGATTGAGTTCACTGCGGTGACTTGGAAGACCGATGACTCTCGGTGGAACCTCCAATTGTAAAGATTGTAAAAAGAGTTAAAACAATTCTAAAGTGTAAGAACTTTTTATTGATCCAGGATCGGACGGAAGACTGAATGAATCTGTGTAGCAGGAGCTTCAGCTTTTATACTTAGTTTAGTAAGGAAGAGTAGGAAGAGGAGTTTAGTAGTAAGAAAATAAAAGCAATAAAGTTTTGGTTTTTGAGGATAAAGCAATAAAACAATAAAACTTTGAGGGAAAGTAACATTCAAGTGTGAAGAGCAATAAACGGCCTGAGCGTAAGAGATTGAGGATAAAGCCATAAACTAGCAGGTTAAAAGAAGAAGGTACGGAAGAAGAAGGAAAGAGAAGGTGGATTGGTTAGATCTTCACACTATCATAAAAAATAAACTAAATAACAAAAGAAAGTAGATACTCCGGGAGGCCTTGTATTACGTGCAAAGATGGCTGTGAATATGATAACCTGTGGATCCTTTTAATGTTAAAACAATACGTTGGCGCCATATTCAAATCCTGTTTTTGTTGAAATCGTGCTTTTATGCAGGTTAACCATTTATTAAGTTAATTTAAACTATCTATAATTGATTTTATTTATCTTTATACCAGCCCCAGAGGTGGCTGAGTGTTTATACCAGCCCCAGAGGTGGCTGAGTGTATATTATAATTCACTTCTTAATGATAAGATTTAGAAACTCAACTTTAGTCTGTATTAAAAAAATCAATTTTCAAGATAACAATTGGTTTATCAAAATTAAGACTTAATATTTTGATAAAAAAATTGTTATCTTCAAAATTGATTTTTTTAATATAGTCTAAAGTTGAATATCTTATCTATTTAATGTATAATGTTGAATGTTGTGTGATGGTTTCATATTGTTTCAACCATCTCCAGAAAGGGCTGGTGGTTATTTTGCTTTAGCAAAAAATATTTATCCTGCTCTAGTCCCCAATGTGCTTTAATTTTGTTTAACATAGAAAATGGTTGTTTCCCTATTGAACCCGTACTTTTCTGTGAAACAGAGACGTGTTTCAATTTGGTGCGGAGCAATTGTAACGTAAATACATGCCTAATATATTTATGATGTATTTCACACTATAAAGTTATGATAATTGTATTTTCCCACCATTAGGTGATGATAATTGTATATTAATTGGTAACCTTTTATTGGATTGAGTACATATATAGTAACATTCACTGATGACACCTCTTATCCGTAGTATATTAACACACAAAAATGATGGAAAAAGTCAGTTCTGTTAAGATAAGCCTTTAATTAACTTGACATCCAAACAACGATATTGTAACTCTCATCTGTTTGTATCTTGCCTACTATAATCCATTAAACTAGTTCAAAAATTAAGTTTATTCACATTTTCATTACTGTGACCCTCTTTTTCGTTACAGTATCAAACCGAGAAAACTAGCGAATAGAACAAACGTTGTCGTTATGATCATTAGAAATAGCTGAAACTACGTTTCTCACAGTTTCTTTCTCACAGTTTTGCAAAAACATTCTAGTCGACTTTAAATGTTTAAATATCCCAATTATCTTATCAACAATGAACAGTGGTTCTTTGTAATATTTGAATGTGATAAAATTTTTATTTAACTTGTATTCTTTAAGTTGATCAGAATAAGACCAATGATTTTGGATTTTCAGAATTACAAAAAATGGACTTTTCTTATGATAATGAATATTAGGTACAGTAAACCCTCTCAAATTGTCACCCTCTCAAATTGTCACCCTCTCTAATTGTCCCAGAGTCATGGTAACCGAGTAAACAATTGCTTTTAATTCAGTTTTTTTAATTAGGAAAATTTTGAGAGGACTCTTAATTACTATTTAATACTGTTCAATACAGGAATTATCAAATTAGAAATCAAAAACACCTAAATTGAATTAATAATTAAATTTTAAAATTTAATCAAATTCGTAAAAGGGCTATTTTGCCTAATTATTATAGGAAAATAGCCAAGATGCTAATCCCACGACGTGACAATTTGAGAGGGTTTACTGTAGATCATCATGACAATATTTTATGATTTGTCAACGTACCATTACAACAAAAAGAGCATTTTTCCAAACAAACCATTAAAGATTGTAAAAGACCACTTCATTCAATATGATCATTAGAGACTACGATCATTAAAGGATTGCGATTTCGACTTGAATTCATCAGGATATACATCTAGATATGATGTTTAAATTATAAAAACCTTAAAAATGTCTCACTTGCACGCAATGACTGGCAATTCCTTAAACTGTATGAAAATAAAATTTATTTCTTTGAAATTTACTTTTTATTGCGCATTATCAATGAATTTTAAATCAACTAAAAAACAATGCTAAATATGCTTTCAGCTTATTGAATTATTAAGTAACTAAATAGATTTTGAAGACAAAAGTTGAATGCATACCAAAAACGATGAAAGTTTATTGACAGTTGTGTCTCCAAATCGAGGAAAATTGCAAATGAATTATTAGCAGCTGAAAAATGATTATACGTAACAATCAATGGCAAATCATTGATTATTTTAATGGAAAAATGCTTGAATTTTCTTTGAGATAGACGATCAAGTTCACTGAAAATCGTGTGAAAATATTAATAGAGTCGATTTACTGCACAAATATTCAGACTGCTTTTCTCACATGAATATACACAACTTTTCCATCTCTCAAAGAAAAGGGTTAAACTGTTTGAATGACAAAATTGAGAATGGTCGACTTTGGTAAAGCTATTAGAAATTTTTTATTCAGAACTATCGGTTTACCTGATGAATCAGACATGACCACACGTAAAGCTTTAATTCGATTCGACAAAGCAACAAAGTTTTTCCTAACAAGCCTACGAAATGGATACGAACAAAACGATGGCAAGCTGGTACTTAAAATTCGCCTGCGGAACATATTTCTTCGAAGTGCAATCATTTTCACAATTATTCGAACAACTGTCTTTCTCTTTGTGGACAATTATTATTTCGACTTATTTCTAGCCAATCCTTTTAGCCGTAATAAAAGCACCAAAAGCTTTTTATTTCTGATCTTGATGGATCTAATATGTATTTGGTTGTTTACACTTCGTGAATATTGTTTACATGTCGAAGAAACAGGACGTTTCAAAGTTTTCAGAGTATTTTATCAGATTGCAAAAAATGGACTTGATCCAGTTAAGCTTGGATTAAGCCATCGCCAGTGCAAAAAATTTCACAGAAAAATGCATTTTCTTATGATTCATGGCTATCGAATGATTTTGATTACATCAGTTCTGATATTCGTAGCATCTACAGCTTTGAAAGTGCTAAACTTTTCCAGTTATTTAACAGCCGTGCATTTGATTTTCCTTGTCGCTCACATACCGATTGAATGTTTTAGCATTCTTACAGTGAGTGCCAGTGGAATATCCTTTTTTATTAATTTTGGAAGTTATTTAGCATTAAACTTGAGTCGCTTCAATACGCTGACGGAAATTATCAAGAAAAATTCTGTAGTAATAAGTTCTAACTCTACAGCTTTTCGTAACATGAACAATAGAGTTGTCTATTTTTTGAACCACTTTGACAAGATTGACACGCACTGGAAATATTTGTTGCAATACTACTTCTTCATGATATCACTTACTGCTGATTTTGGCTTCTTTGTCGCGGTCATACTGGATTTTGGTTCTGATATCGTAACAAAAATTTTGGCCTTCTATTCAATAGTAGGGCACTTTTCAGGTATGATGGGTTATTATTTGTTTGCAAACTTTTATCATGAGGTAAGTTCAGATTAATCGCCTATTATAAAGTTACAAACATTTAGTTGTTCATTTCAAGACTATCGATTTGCACAAGCGTTATGTGAGTATTATACTGAATGCTGATTCAGCTAGTCGAGTTGACAAATTAAAAGTAAGTTCATCAATAATATACGTGTGATTCTTGAACATGGTTTTATA